GGCACTCTGCCCAGGGGGACAGCTTGAGGCTCTGTCTCAAAAAAAAAAAAAAAGAACTCATCTCTACAAAAAAATTTTAAAATTGCCCAGGTGTGGTTATCCCCTTCTGTAGTCCCAGTCACTCAGGAGGCTGAGACAGAAGAATCGCTTGAGCCTGGGAGTTCATGGTTACAGTGTGCTATGGTCGTGCCACTGCACTCCAGCCTGGCAACACAGTGAGATTTCTGTCTCTTAAAAAACAAACAACCTCCAAACAAGAACCTCATCTCCTCACTTGAGGCAGTGGCTGTCAAGATAGAAAAGGCAGATGTTTGGTGCACTGGGTAAGGGAGAGAAGGGGAGCAGGTGAGGCTAGATGGGAAAGAAGTTTAGGGAGGTATCTGCTGCTTTAACTGTGAGCCCTGGCCGATGATGACATGACCACTGCGCAATCTGAGTTCTGGGAACCAGGTGATGGAGTGTGTGCTGAGAATGGACTGAGGCTGGGCGAGAAGAAAAAGAAAAGGCAGGTATTCAGGAAGATACTTTGAAGGGGGGATTATAAGAAATTTAGATATTCTAATGAACAGGTACATGGCAGGAGCTGAGTGAGTAAAGGACAATTCATAGAGTTCTCATTTGGGTGAGCAGAGAGATCCTTAACTGAGAGAATACGGGAAGGAGAGAGGAAGAGAAGTTCAATTTTGAGAAGTTGAGTTTGAAGCACTGAGAATTATTATTTATAGGCGCTTAGCCTAGAACTCAGGAGAGAGATCTGAACAGGGGCTATTAGCGCATAAAAATCACTGGGAGTAGGGATTATTTAAAATGCAGATTCCTTTCTTCCTTTTTTTATGGACACTTCTTTTTTTTTTTTTTTTGAGTCAGAGTCTCAAGGTATAACCCTGGGTAGAGTGCAGTTATGGCTCACAGCAGCCTCCAACTCTTGGGCTCAAGTGATCTTCTTACCTCTGTTTTTCTATTTTTAGTAGAGATGGGGTCTCAGTTTTACTCAGGCTGGTCTTAACCTCCTGAGCTCAAGCTATCCACCCTCCTCAGCCTCCCAGAGTGCTAGGATTATAGGTGTGAACCACCATGCCAGGTCTATGGATACTTCTAATACCTTAAAAAATGCAGATTCCTGGCTCGGTGCTTATAGCTCAAGCAGCTAAGGCGCCAGCCACATACGCCAGAGCTGGCGGGTTTGAATCCAGCCTGGGCTGAATCCAAACATCAGTGACAACTACAACCAAAAAATAGCTGGGCGTTGTGGCGGACGCCTGTAGTCCCAGCTACTTGGGAGGCCGAGGCAAGAGACTCACTTAAGCTTAGGAGTTGGAAGTTGCTGTGAGCTGTGATGCCATGGCACTCTCCCTAGGGCAACAGCTTGAGGCTCTGTCTCAAAAAATAAAAATAAAAATGCATATTCCTGCCGTTCCACCACAGAGTTTAATTCAGTAGGCTCTAGGGGAGAGTCTAAGAATCTACTTCGTTATATAAACATCCCCTCCTCAAAAAAAAAAAATCCCAGATGATTCTAATGCAGATATTCTGGGGAACACTATTTTCCCAACCACTTTGTAGGTTGTTGTTAAGGCCTGGTTCTTGAATTAGAGGCTGAGAACCAAAGTATTTCATATTTAAGGATAGAGAACTAAGAAAACAGAAGCATTTACTATTTAAGAATGGAGAACTCAGAAGCAGCTATGACAAAAGTCAGAGGATGACCAAGTGAGAAAATTTCAAGAAGGATGACGTGATCAGTGGTATCAAACACTGAAGAGAGGTCAGAGGAGGGAAGGTGTGCAGAATTCTTTGGACTTTGCATTTGAACATCCATCAAAGTGAAAGGGTTGCATAACAGAGACAGGTGTGCAGCTTTTGTTTTAGGACCCATTTTGTTAAATTTGTAGGGGCTAAATCAGTAGGTTCACAGAAATACAACGAAGAACTAGAAGAACTAGACTAGCTGGACACGGTGGCTCATGCCTATAATCCCAACACTGTTGGAGGTTAAGGAGGGAGAGTTGCTTGAGCTCAGGACTTTGAGATGAGAGTGAGACCCTGACTCCTAAAAAACATGAAAAACCCAGCCGGGCACCATGGCAAGCACCTGTATTTCCAACGACTTCTGGAGACTGAGGCAGTGGGATGCCCACAGCCCGAGTCTGAGGTTGCAGTGAGCTATGACGCCAGTGCACTCTGCTCAGAGCATAGGGTAGTGGGACTCTGTCTCAACAACAAAAAAAGCAAAGAAATAAAAATAAAAAATAAGTAAGGAAATAAAAAAAAAGAACTAGACTAGGAGTTCAAATATGTTGACCTAGTTTCCAGTTCCAGCTTTGTTACTGACAAGCTGAATATCTTTTAGTAGATAAGTTAACCTTGATGAGCTGTTTTTGCGAAGTAGTGACAATAACTCATCTATACCTCGCTGAATTATAAAACGCATGAGAGACAATATAAAAGTACTTTTTAAGTGTAAGACAGATTATACTTCTTATTAAAGTCTTCTTATGTTCTCATGGTTATTAGTAAAGCAAGTAATATTTGATTAAGGTCATGAATTTATTTTTGTCCTTTGGAAATTAGCCACCCATACATCCAGGACCTACAAAATCAATACTTTGGTAGATTCTAATAATCAAGAAAGCGCTTGCATAAAAGAGCCACTATTTTACATTGGTCTGTTTGACAGCTTTCATTGTGACATTTTATTAATCTTTGCTTTCTAATGTCTCTGTGTGTCTATTTTTGCCATTAAAAGCCAGAAAACACTTTCTACATCTTCAATTCAAAATGAAATCCCAAAGAAAAAGTCCAAGTTTGAGTCCATCACAACTAATGGAGACAGGTGAGCCAATTAGAGTATGTGTGCGCATACATTTGAAATGCATACATGGTTCCTGAAACAGGAAGACATTTTAGGTTATGCCTTGGAGCTAGTTTATGGCTATTAGTAAACCTTTTAGAGGTGCTACACTAGTCATGTGATAGCTTATAAATAAACAATACTGATATTTATTTATAAATCTAATCTTGTCATTAAAAGATTAAAAACTCATAACTGGATTTGATAGCAGTTGAAGTCTTTAGTCCATTAAATAATTCCCCCATACTAATTCAAAGAAGTCAAGAGCTGGATACTTGTCTTTGTGGTCTGTGCCCATAGCTTCCTCCGGGCAGGGCAGGAGTTGGTCTCAAGAGGCAGAGCATAGACAAATTAAGACAGTGTTGCTCGGTTTCTGAGGGATGATCTATGCTTCTTTAGCATTCAGAAAGCCAGCCCACTGTAGATGCTAGATCAGGGAAGAATAAGATGCATTTAAATTTTTGTTTCATTTTTAAGACTGTCTAAATGTGTATTTTTATCCTTCTCAGCAATGCTTCGCCTTATGAGCTGCTTTGTCCTAATATCCAGAGCACCTCATCCGTGTTGTTGCAGTGGGCTGCTTCGCAAGAGAGTCTTGGGGCCAACCATTTTCCTGTTCCTCTAGGCCCAGGCATCCTGAAGTGAGATTATCTGGCATACTCTTCCCTAGAATTCTTGGAATCATTCCCATTCTGAAAACTTCTCCCATTCCCACATCTCCTTCTTAGCCATTGGTGGATATGGGAGCAGACCAGCATATTGGCTAACTGGGACTGAATGTTTATTTAGAGGAATACAAAAACATCTGTGACGTTTACTCTTTCCCACTGCCTTTTTCATTAACTTGATTTCAGACTCTACAAATTGTTTACGGGTAGTTTTATTAATTTAAAACTTTAATTCAATAAGCTTTAATTTAGATATTTAGATTACAAGGGGGGAGGAGTTATAAACACCATCTTTTTTTTTTTTTTTTTGAGACCGAGTCTCATTTTGTCACTCTCAGTAAAGTGCTCTGACATCATAGCTTACAACAACCTCAAACTCCTAGGCTCAGGCAATCCTCTTGCCTCAGCCTCCCGACTAGCTGGGACTATACGTGCCTGCCACAACCCCCGGCTAATTTTTCCTATTTTTAGTAGAGACAGGGTCTCACTCCTGCTCAGGCTGGTCTCAAAATTATGAGCTTAAGCAATCCTCCTGCCTCGGTCACCCTGAGTGCTAGGATTACAGGCATGAGCCACTGTGCCTGGCCCTGGTCAGCTTTACTATTCTCTGAGCAGCCAATCGGGCCATTGTAAAGAAACTAGATATGGTACAAGTTGTCCACCACCTCAAGGAACTTTTTCAATTGTTTTGTTAAGACCTAAGCCAGAGCCCATGGCTTTTAGGGTCATCATTTCTGTTTTGTGCTCCTTTATGATCCAGGCTGTGTTGCATCTAGAATGAGCTCATTCATATCCTCTAGTTTAACCAACCAATCCTTAAAGTTTACCTTCTTTTAGCTTATTTTGTTCTTGAGACACTGCCACTATTCTTGCTATCTATTGCTATGGATACACCAAGCTAAAAACTCCCATCTGGTCACCAGCAATCACTGTTTCCTCAAGTAGGATTATCCTTGACTAAGGTACATGGTTTTTCATGATGTCCTCTGGGAAAGACTTTAAAAGATCCTTTTTTCCTTAAAATGACATGCTAATCTTTAAGCAAAATTTACTGTTAATAATTGAAAATGTGGAAAATTTTGTCTGCTACCACAAAAATGGTTTTCATAAATATATAGATTGCATTTGAATGTTTTATAATAGCAGTCTTAACATTCTGTTCTACTTGTTTGCATTTTTTAGATTTTCTTTTTTTTTTTTTTTGAGGCAGACTCTCATTCACTTACCCTGGGGTTGAGTACCATAGCATGATACCTCACAGCAACCTCAAACTCTTTTTTTTTAATTTTTTTTTATTTTTTTTTTATTTTTGGAGACAGAGCCTCAAGCTGTCCCCCTGGGTAGAGTGCCATGGCATTACAGCTCACAGCAACCTCCAACTCCTGGGCTCAAGCGAGTCTCCTGCCTCCACCTCCCAAGTAGCTGGGACCACAGGCGCCCGCCACAACGCCCGGCTATTTTTTTGGTTGCAGCCGTCATTGTTGTTTGGCGGGTCCGGGCTGGGGATTCGAACCCGCCACCTTAGGTGTACGTGGCTGGCGCCTTAGCCGGTTGAGCTATGGGTGCCGAGCCGCAACCTCAAACTCTTGAGTTCAAGTGATTCTCTTGCCTCAGCCTTCTGAGTAGCTGGGACTTACAGGTGCCTGCCACAATGCCCAGGCCTATTTTTTAGATTTTCATAGCACAAGATAAGTTACATTTGCTATCCTTTTTACTTTTTATGTTTTTTTCTTGCTCTTATTTACTTTGAAAAAAAAGCATTTTGAGGTTGGCCTTGGTGGCTCACACCTATAATCCTAGGAAGGCTGAGGAGAGTAGATAGCTTGACCTCAGGAGTTCGAGACCAGCCTGAGCAAGAGTGAGACCCAGTTTCTACTAAACATAGAAAAACTAGCTGGGTGTTGTGGTGGGCACCCATAGTCCCAACTACTTGGGAGGCTGAGGTAGGAGAATCACTTGAACCCAGGAGTTTGAAGTTGCTGTGATCTATGCTGAGGCCATGAGCACTCTAGCCTGGGGCAACAGAGTGAGACTATCTCCAAAAGGATAAAAGCATTCTGACAATCTTTTGTTTTTTTGGCTATCCTTTTTAGTTCAGGCAAACCAAACATTTTTTTAAACAGCATGTCTATTTCAATTCAGTTCTGTACCAACAGTAATCAGTCTTATTTCTGAAATATGAAATATGTTGTAGCTGCCTCACAGTTTTTAATGAATCACATTCACTTTCCTGGCTCTACTTTTAAAATATTCATATACTTTTATTTTTGAGACACAGTCTCACCTTGTTGCTCTGGGTAGAGTGCAGTGGCATCTTAACTCACAGCAACTTCAAACTTTAAGACTTAAGCGATCCTCCTGCCAAAGCCTCCTGAGTAGCTAGGACTACAGGTGTCTGCCATTATACCTGGCTAACTTTTCTATTTTTCATAGAGACAGGGTCAGGTGGAGCTCAAACTCCTGAGCTCAAGAAATCCACCCACTTGAGCCTCCCAGAATGCTAGGATTACAGGCGTGAACCACCACGCCTGATCTATTCATATACTTTTAAATTTATGCTCTTAGGCTCGGCGCCTATAGCTCAACCGGCTAAGGCGCCAGCCACGTACACCTAAGGTGGCGGGTTCGAATCCCCAGCCCGGACCCACCAAACAACAATGACGGCTGCAACCAAAAAATAGCCGGGCGCTGTGGTGGGCGCCTGTGGTCCCAGCTACTTGGGAGGCGGAGGCAAGAGACTCGCTTGAGCCCAGGAGTTGGAGGTTGCTGTGAGCTGTAATGCCACGGCACTCTACCCAGGGGGACAGCTTGAGGCTCTGTCTCAAAAAAAAAAAAAAAAAAATTTATGCCCTTGGTCTTTTATTTTTATTCCCTATGTCTCTGCATGTTGCTCTCTAATACTCTTTTTTTTTTTTTTTTACAGTTTTTGGCCAGGGCTGGGTTTGAACCCACCAACTCTGGCATATGGGGCCAGCGCCCTACTCCTTTGAGCCACAGGCACCGCCCACTAATACTTCTTTTTTTTTGTAGAGACATTGTCTCACTTTATCTCCCTCAGTAGAGTGCTGTAGTGTCATAGCTCACAGCAACCTCAAACTCTTGGGCTCAAGTGATTCTCTTGCTTCAGCCTCCCAAGTAGCTGGGACCACAGGGATCCACCACAACACCCAACTATTTTTTTTTGTTGTTGTTGCAGTTTGGCTGGAGCTGGGTTTGAACCCACCACCCTCGGTATCTGGGGCTGGCACCCTACCAACTGAGCCACAGGCGCTGCCCTCTAATACTTTTTTATTAACCTTTCTGTACTACCACATTATCCTCTATTATTTAATATTGAGGCATATTTGATTATTTTTCCTCTTAATAGCTTCCTGTATCATAATACAAAACACATTACCTTAGCTTTCTCTAATTGTTTTATACTTAAAAGATGCCTTAGTCTTTTTTTCTTTTTCTTTTCTTTTCGTTCTTTTTTTTGTGTGTGTGTGTGTGAGACAAAGTCTCATTATGTCGCCCTCGGTAGAGTGCTGTGGCATCACAGCTCACAGCAATCTCAAATTCTTAGGCCAAAGTGATGCTCTTGCCTTACCCTCCCAGGTAGCAGGTACCCGCCACAACACCTGGCTATTTTTGTTGTTGTTGTTGTTGTTTGTTTAGCAGGCCTGGGCCAGGTTCAAACCTACCAGGCCTAGTGCATGTGACCCACGCCCTAACAGATGAGCTATGGGTGCCAAGCCAAGTCTTTTTTCATATCTACAAAATCCATAGCCTCTCTATCTTGATGGTTTATAATTTGTTTGTTAAAATTGTAACAAAAACTTTCAATTTGAGGAAAATGGGAGTTAATTTCTAGCTTTCTTTCCTTGATAAAAATGTATCAAGTACTTTTTGTTCATTTTTTTATTGTTCCATAGATTGTAAGAAGGTAGTCTGACACTGAGACACACTTTGTGGTTTATTGTTTCTAAAGGACATTCTTTTTCTGTTTCTTGTAATTTTATTTTATACACCCTCTGAAATGTGCCTGAAAGATCAGATTTACTCTGTGTGGCCTTTGAGGACAGACTCAGAACCAATGTGTAGGATTATAGAGGGGCAGGTTTTGGCTCAACCTGTGAAAATTGTTCTTATATTAAGAGCTTTTTTGTAAGAGACAAAGTTTCCTGGAAAAGTGAGTTCCCCATTGTCGGAGGCTTTTGGAAAGTGACTGGATTGTCTGCCTTACTAATCCTAGCCATCATTTTTCATTTCCAGCAGTTCTTATCGAACTAGGAATTACAGTGTTAGAGAGGTCAGACCCTAACACAGGATAGACTGGACTGGTTTTGTCAACAACTTATTGATATGGGAAGAATCTTCTCTCAAGAAGCAGGTAAAGAAAAGCCTTAGGAGCTTTAGGGATGACAAAAAGCAACTTACACTAGTTCATTACTTCATTTCATTCGGTGCATTCATTGCTGCAGTTACGGGTTTAAATAGACTATTAGATTGAGGGAAGACAGTCCTAGGCAGGTTTGAAACAGATACAGGGCAGCAAGTACAGGTATAAGGGCACTTCCAGATCTGGAGTTGGTAGAGACTGTGATCGTTTTTTCAATACTTTCTCCTGCGTGCCTTGTTTTTATCATTTTGCATTTTCTTTTTGTTATCCAGTAATTCTGCACATCGATCAGTTATGAAAGCCTTGATTCCTCTGCCATTTTTCTTATATGCTTCATGTAGACTGTGGTGGGGAGAATATTCTTATCAGTGGACTATGTCTTCTGATTCTAGCCATAGAGATGTTTGACTTGGGAGACTATGAGGAAGTATATCCAGTGGTTAGGCTTGCTATTTGGAGTTTTTTCCTGTGTAGAGAAATGCTGGTTATTAGATGTGGCATAAGATATGGGAAAGAACAACAGCAGGGCACTATGAATTGTTAATATATTGACTATTGACATAGGGAGTATTTTAGTGCTTAGGAAAAACAGATTTTTGTTTTACTAAAAGATTGTCCTGGGAAAAGTAAAGAGCTTCCTTTGGGAATTCTCTAAAGAAGGGCAGGATTTAACCCTTTTGGCTGTGATTCCTTAACTTGTTTTGGGTCTGAGATACCTTTGACCAGCCATTGAAAGTTATGGATCCTCACTCTAAAAACCACCCAAGATAGTACATTATTTTCAGGGTTTTGCAGATTCCCTATAACTGTTTCTCATTAAGAAATTGATAAAAGACTCAGTACCAGTAGTTGAGTGGTTAGGGCACCGGCCACATATACCCGGGCTGGCAGGTTCAAACCTGGCCTGGGGCTGCTAAACAGCAATAACAACTCTAGCAACAACAAAAAAAATAGCCAGGCATTGTGGCGGCGCCTGTAGTCCCAGCTACTTGGGAGGCTGAGGCAAGAGTATTGCTTGAGTCTAAGTTTGAGGTTGCTGTGAGCTGTAATGCCATAGCACACTCTACCAAGGGTGACATAGACTCCGTCTCAAAAAAGAAAGAAACTGATAAAAGAACATAGTAGTCCACATGGCATCTTGATTATAAGACCATGTTCCAGTGCCATTGCTGAGAGGAATATGTTGAAAACCCAAGTTGTTATGCGACTCTGGAGTTTGCCACCTCTTTGTTCCTTTCCTAACTTAATGTCACAGAATCCTTAATTTGAAAATGATAGCAGGACACAGTAGCGCCCTTCTTTAATCTCAACACTTCGGAGGATCACTTGAGGCCAGGAGTTTGAGACCAGCCTGGGCAATAGAGCAAGATGTCATCTCTACAAAAAATACAAAAATTTGATGGGTGGTGTTGGTGGGTGCCTATAGTAGTCCCAGCTACTTGGGAGGCTGAAGCAGGAGGATCACTTAAGCCCAAGAATTTGAGGTTGTAGTGAGCTATGATAATGCCATTGTGCTCTAGCCCAAGCAACAGAGCAAGTCCTTGTCTCAAACAAAAGAGAAAAAAATGGAGATGACAACCTGCAGTCCTCTTGATTAGGAATGGCAATTTGCTGGCCAGTTGTAGTGTGGGGAAGTTGGCTTCCTTCCTATTCCTTTTTTTTTATTTGTTTGCTTTTTTCAGACACAGTCTCAAGCTGTCGCCCTGGGTAGAGTGCCCTGGTGTCATAGCTCACAGCAACCTCCAACTCTTGGGCTCAAGTGATCCTCTTGCCTTAGTGTTTCTATTTTTAATAGAGACAGGGGTCTCACTCTTGTTCTCTCAGGCTGGTCTCAAACTCCTGAGCTCAGCAATCCACCTGAGCCACTCAGCCTCCCAGAGTACTAGGATTATAGGCGTGAGCCACTGCACCTGATTGGCTTCCTTCCTATTAATTTCATCTCTGTTAATGAAGGACTGCTCCTGGGTAAGAATGCATCAGCTTGGCCAGGCACGGTGGCTCATGCCTATAATCCTAGCACTTTGGGAGGCTGAGAGGGGGTGGATTGCCTGAGTTCACAGGTTTGAGACTGCCTGAGCAAGAATGAGACCTTGTCTCTAAAAATACCTGGGCGTTGTGTCAGGCGCTTGTGGTCCCAACTATTCTGGAACTGAGGCAAGAGAATCCCTTGAGCCCAAGAGTTTGAGGTTGCTGTGAGCTATGACACTAGGGCACTCTTCCGAGGGTGACAATAAAACTCTGTCTCAAAAAAAAAAAAAAAAAGAATACAGCAGCTTGGCAGCTGCACTATATCACAGAGTTTGGGGACAGAAGAGCTAAAAGACAAGCTCTATAGGGAGCATTAAATAAAAATGTATGAGGGGTGGCCCCTGTGGCTCAAAGGAGTAGGGCACCAGTCCCATATACCAGAGGTGGCAGGTTCAAACCCAGTCTCAGCCAAAAACTGCAAAAAAAAAAAAAAGCATGAGCTCACAGTTTATAATTTATCTGGAATTTACTTATCCAGTCACAAAATTCATCAGTAAATCATTGGGGATCTTTAGTGAGACTGAAACAATATCCTTGACTGTTGGGATGTGGCATTTATTTTAGCCCTGAATATGAGAGAAGATGGTGAGGGAATATTGCCAGATGGTGGTTTTGTTTGGTAGAGTTACCTAATGACCACCTTATCTGTGCAGTTCAGCAAATGCTGTCAAGCCTGGCCTGTATGGAGCAAAGTACTTAATGCTGGGAATTCAAATAGTTGCTTCTGCTCACAGTCAAGTGGCCTAGGATGCATCAGGTAAAGTTTATCCACCCAAATTATGATTTCTTTCCCCCCTTTCCATTTTTTTTATTTAGCTTTTCCCCAGACCTGGCTCTGGACTCACCAGGTACTGACCACTTTGTCATCATTGCCCAACTGAAGGAAGAAGTGGCTACCCTGAAAAAGATGTTGCATCAAAAGGATCAAATGATTTTAGAGAAAGAGAAAAAGGTAAGATTTTAGATAGATCTTTGAAAGTATGATAGGTTGATGCCTGTCATACCAAAATATATGGGATGGGCCATTATGTTAAGTCCATTTAACTGATACTTGTCAGATACTTAACCATCGGCATTTTGAAAGATCGCATGGCAAGGCAGGGATATTCTGGAGAAAGGCTAGCTGTTTACCAAGATGACTCCTGGGCTGGCATTACTCGGTCTGTTCATTCCAGTCAAGTGGATTCAGAAAGCTGATTTTTCTCAGCACTTAAAGGTAACTTTCAATTCTCAGAGAGGACATTTGTTAACCAAGCTTACAGAGATGATGTAAAAACCACAGTGTCCACATCTTAATTCACAGCAGGCATGTAATAGCATACTGTTCTTAGCATGAGCTATTTGGAAGGTTGTAATCAGAAGGTGCTGAATGAGCATAGTTAGAACAAGAGGAGGTAGTTATGTAATTGGAATGTTTAATGACTCAGAATAAAAGAACTTGATGCCTCCATCTCTACCATGGGGATGACCATGTCTGTGGGACAGTAATGTTCAAAGTATATGGGCCAGATCTCCCTCCTCCTTATACAGCATTCAGGTACACCCTTTCCCATAACTCTATACCACTGTGTTTGCATTGCTGATCACTCCCTTACTAAGTGACCCATTCTTTTTTTTTTTTAGATATTGTCTCACTAAGTCACCCTTAGTAGAATGCTGTGACATCACAGCTCATAGCAACCTCAAACTCTTGGGTATAAGTGATTCTCTTGCCTCAGACTCCCAGGTAGCTGGGACTACAGGCACCTGCCACAAAACCTGGCTTTTTTTGTTGTTGCAGTTGTCATTGCTGTTTAGCTGGCCTGGGCCGTGTTCAAACCCACCTGCCTTGATGTATGTGGCTGGTGCCCTATCCACTGAGCCATGAGTGCTGAGCCGTGACCCATTCTTCAAACACTAATATCATAATTAATATCTTCAGTGTTAATATTCTGTCTTCATATAAAATATCTTTGATCTTTATATTCCTCTTATTTTTTTGGCCATGGCTGGGTTTGAACCTACCACTTCTGGCATATGGGGCTGGCGCCCTACCCTTTTGAGCCACAGGTGCCACCCTAATCTTAATATTCCTAATATCTTAATATCCACAGAATAAAACCATCCTTCCTCTTTTCTTTTTTAAATACAGGATATTAATATTTTATTTTTATTTTTTGAGATAGTCTCACTTTGTCGCCCTTGGTAGAGTGCTGTAGCCTCATAGTTCACAGTAACCTCAAGCTCTTAGGCTCAAGCAATTCTCTTGCCTCAGCCTCCCAAGTAGCTAGGACTCCAGGCACCTGCCACAATGCCTGGCTATTTTTAGAGATGGGGTCTCTTTCTTGCTCAGGCTGCTCTCAAACCTGTGAGCTCAGGGTAGTCCACTCACCTCGGCCTCCCAGAGTGCTGATGACAGACATGAGCCACCTCACCCAGCCACCATCCTCCCTAAGTTTTTTTTTTTTAAGGTAGAGTCTCACTTTGTCACCCTCCATAGAGTGCTGTGGCATCATAGCTCACAGCAAGCCTCAAAACTCTTGGGCTCAGGTGATTCTCTTGCCTCAGCCTCTCAGGTTGCTGGCCACCACACCCGCCTGCCACCACACCCAACTATTTTTAGAGATGAGGTCTCACTCTGGCTCAGGCAATCCACCCACCTCAGGCTTCCAGAGTGGTACAATTACAGGTGTGAGCACTGCGCCTGGCCATCCTCCCACTTTAAAAGGAACTTTTCACATCCTTGTTCTGACTCATGTCCACTATTTATCTTATTTTTAGGTTCTAGACAATATCTCATTTTTTAATATAATGATAAAAATAGCTAGCTTATACTGGGTGCTTAATTTGTGCCTGGCTGTATTCTGAGTCCTTTATATATATTAACTAATCTATTGTTATAATAAGCCTTTGAGGTAGAACTTATTATCATAATAATTTCATAGATGAAGAATGTCTCCAGTATTTTTCCTGTTAGAGTTCCAATTCCCTTCTCTACCTCTTGTTTTCCCCCGAGACTGTCCCCTTGTGCCAAGTTCAGAATGCCATGATTCATTCTGAATGGGCATTTAAGACATTTATAATGTTAAATCTTTTACATGTTTTCTTTCTTCTAATTTCTGCCCCCTTTTCCAAAGGTGGAAGCAGATCCAGAGAGGTTAAATAATGTGTCCAAATCACATAGCTGGTAAATGGCAGAACAAGAGAATGAACCCTTTTCTTTCTGATTCTACTGTTCTTTCTACTATGTTAATGCTTTTTCCTACTAGTAAGATGGAGCTATATGGGAATAGACTTGTATTCTTTCCTGTTTACTACATTATTGTCAGATGAAAGTGGATCCAAGTATATTCTCTTCAAGGTCTAGATCAGATAGCACACAAAAGGATTTATTGTAAAATAGAGACAAAATGAATACTTATTTCTACTGCTTTGCAGAGTTAGGATTTTTAAAGGAGCAGAAACAAGTAGATTGTTTCTCATAGCTTTCAGGATCAGGGTCACACTCCTTTGGTTGGAACAAGGCTCTTGGACATCATGCCTATGTACTCTAGCCTAATCTTCTGCACTCTCCAGGCTCATTGGCCATTCAAATAATCCCTTGGTTATCTCTCACTTCTCTGCCTGTGCCCATACTATTCCCTTTGCTTGGATGCTCTTCTGCTAACCTTATGTGCCTATTGCTACCTCAAAGCTCAATTCACACATCACCTTTCTTTCTTTCTTTTTCTTTTTCGAGGCAGGGTCTCACTCTGTCACCTTTGATAGAGTGCCATAGCATCACAGCAACCTCAAAAACTTGGGCTTAAGCGATTCTCTTGCCTCAGCCTCTCAAGTAGCTGGGACTACAGGTGCCCACCACAACGCCCAGCTATTTTTTT